AACAGTGCCTCCAAGTCCCATCCCCGCGATGTGCAATGCATACTGGTACATGATACACATAAGTGTAATGTGCACTGGTGTGCAATGTGTTTCAAGCAGTTTGCCATCTTTGCTACATAGTAATATGATGGCAGCCCTCTACTGGATATGGTAATTACAAACCTATCCAATTGTAACGGTTGCATACTTAAGTCCACTTATGAAGATGTAACTCTCACACACATGATTCCAGCCATTATTTTTAAACTTGTCAAAAAAGTTATTTTCCAACAGTGTGGGGAAATCCAGGCAAGGAGAATCCTGATCTGATGAGAAAGTTCAGGACTTCATTTGCACGAAATGGAGCTTTCTACAAAATAAAAATCCACCGGGATTGTGGCGCAGCTGGCTGAGTGTCAGCTGCATTAAGATCACTCTGACCAAAAGGTCATGAGTTCGAAGACAACCCGGGTTGGAGTGGGTTTCCAACCAATTGCGTGTAACCTGTTGTCGACCTTTGCAACCTGAAAGACAGTTGCATCTATCAAGTAGGAAAATAAGGTACCACCTTAAAGTGTGGGGAGGCTAAATTAACTGATTTATGAGGCCATAAAGAAGACTCCGGCAAAGCATTCCAGCGGGGAAGCGTGCTGGGAATGCGGAAGTGCTTCATCAGCGTTGCAGATGGACGATGAAAGCGACAGCTCCCCTGGCGGCCAAAAAAAAGTTAAACAGCCTCTGTGTATGTCTGTATATGTTTGTATGTCAAAAATTGGCATTGAATGTTTGCCATATATATGTACACTGTAATCCGCCCTGAGTCCCCTGCGGGTGAGAAGGGCAGAATATAAAAGCTGTAAATAAATAAATAAATAAATAAATAAATAAATAAATAAATAAATAAAAGTGTGATTTTTATATAGAATAAGTTCCCAGTTGTTGCATTTTTTGTAATATTTCTGCATACATATACAATTTTCTCTGCAGGGAATGTTATTTTCTGTGCAAAAAATGCTGAGAATTTTCAACAGACTATAGAAAACAGCCTTAGCTGCAGTTTTTAAAAATGTTCTCAAAGCAGGAAGAAAATTGCTAAAATTACTCACTGCGTCCTTCAAGAACATCATTAGCTAAGAATTACAATGCTAGTAGAAATGAAGTTCTTGAATGTGTGTGTTTTGAATTCTTATTCTCAGAGGGACTGGCTCTTCTCAAAGTCTATAAATACATTTCTCAGATTAATTTGCCCCAGTCAGTTCCAACTCAGTAAATCCCCTGCCAATTTCAAAACTGCTAGAAAAAGAAGCAAATGACTTAGAATAACTGCATATGTTCAATAACTAGAGGGTATTCTGTGTACAAAAAACAGATCACCGACTCTGGAAACTTGAATTAGATTAGGATGAGAATTGCTAATTTTAAACAAACGTGTCTCGCTAATAAAAACCCAACATCCTGAACAACTGCATAATCAACATCCAGTCCAGACATTAGGCGCTATGACAGAACAGAAATAATAACAGCATTTAAAAGAAAATGCTTACAGTATCCAGTCATTTGGCAAGAATAAATGCTATGCTTTAGTGACAAACAACTGAAAGTTTTGCTGTTATCTACTTGCAAACCTATGAAATTTCATGGGATAATGTCTCTTCTGTTATGGGAAAGTAGAATCATAAGCTCATTGGGTTGGAAGAGACCACAATGGTCATCTAGTCCAATACCCTGCTATGCAGGAAAGTACAATCAAAGCACCCATGACAGATGGTCATCTAGCCTGATTGCCTCAATCTTGATACTATACTCCTGATAAAGCTTCAAATTGCATTAGATTTGTATAGTTGCCACATCACATTGTTGACTCATGTTCAGCTTGTGGTATACTAAGATGCCTAGGATTTCATATGTACTGTTTTTCAAACTAGGTGTCATTTATCCTATATCTGTGGCTTCCACTTTTATTGCCAAAGGGTAATACTCTATATTTATCTGTTAAAATGGATTTTGTTAATTTTGACAAAGTTCTCTAATCTCTTAATGTCATTTTGGATTCTGATCCTGTCTGGGGTAAGCCTCCCAATTTGGTGTCATCTACAAATTTAACGAGCCTACTTCACAGCAGGAGAAGCTGCCATTGTTCACGAATCATCAAAGAAGTGCACTGTTGTGGCTGAGCTGTTTTCTGATGATGAGGATGATGGGATTCTGATTCCTGCTGGGATTCAGCTTCCTGGCTCTTTGTCTGTGCCTTAAATCTCTGGGCCTGCTTCTGAGGCTCCCACAGACAGTGAAGCCAACACAGCCGTTCCCAGCAGAAAGGAATTTTAACGAAGGAGATAGCAAGCAGGTGCCTTCCCACACTGATACCAAAAGTGTAGATAGTGACTTGACCTGGCAAGCCCGTCTTGATCTGAGAGTCAGGCGGAGTTCTTGTCTAGCCAGCAGACGAGAAGCCAGCTCGGTGAAAAGTCATCGCAATGCTTTATGATGATGAGAGCCTGATGTTTTCATGTTAGAAAGGTATTTAGGCTTCTTGCAAACCCTAAGAAAGTGTCAGTTCAACGTAGCTTACTAGCCTGAAAGCTTCATGGAATAACCTTAGACTGGAAAGCAGTACGCTTGGGATTTCTTGCATTGTGATTCTTGGGGCAATGGTTTCATTGCTTGTACCTGGGACTCTGGTTTGAACTTTGCCAATAGGATTGTGTCTCCTGCTTTTACCTGAAGATCTTTGGAACTATATTTTGCTTTTAACCTTAATTTTTGGAACTTTGCAATGCTTATTCTTTATTTTGACTTGGATTTTTTCCTCAATAAACTATAAAACTACAGCTCTTGTGTGGTGGTGTTTGGAAGCAAAATGAAGCTTACTCTGAGTTGCAACAAAGGCAATGTTCACCATGTTTGCTTCTGCAGTTAACCATGACACAGAGTGATTTTAGTGTTTGAACTTAGTTGAAGGAGAAAAGTAGTTATATAGGAAGGCCAGTCTCCAATTGTGGTCTCCCAGAAACAGATAGAGGGAGAAAGATGTCAACCATGTCTGAAACCGTAATAATTAATTTGGCTCCTATCTCCTATCTCTATAACAGCTAGTATAACATGATTTCCAGCTTTAAAAAGTTTTGCATTCCTTTATCCTGCCATCAGTGTCCAAAAAATGTAGAATTGCAGCATTAAAACACAGAACGTCATTATATCTCAAAACTAGACTGTCTGTATTATATATTATGAATAAGAATACTCATCAAACAAAAACTAGTCTTTCGATTTCAAATTCACACTGTAACTTATTACAAAGACCCCCAAATAATTTACTACTATCACCATTTTCAAAATAAAATGATCCATTACATTATTTGAAATAATATTTGCTACCCTTCTATTATTCTTTTTGGGGAGAATTAGTCAAAGAATGGGGAAAACATGAACATCTGTGGTGAAAATATGCCCTTTAAAAATACCTAAAAATTAAGTAGAAAATTTTACTTGCTACCGAATTCTGTTAATTTGCTTGTACAATGTAATTTTGATCCACCATAAGAAGAAATGCATTATAAGTGGTTACATTGCATATAACATGTTATTGTTAATTGCTAACACATTACAATAACAAACTCATGATGGAGAGGAATCATGTTGGATTAGATCCACTATTAATAACAGGACTGAGGAAATCTCCAGCTAACTGGATAACAATATACAATAACATATATTCAAAAGGAATCAAATATAAAGGAAATAGAAGCAATTGAGGGTAAAAAGCTCACACTATCTTTTAACTTCCTCTCCATTATTTCTCCTGTTATTTCCCTAGTTTGTCACAAGTATTCTAATTATGAATATGTGCATCTCATATTTCACTTGAAGCCCAACAGCAACTAATATGCACACTTCAAGATTATCACAAATAGTACATTGTTAATAGCAAGTTTCTCTTTCTTCAGTCACTTGTTCAAAATAATCATTTCTTCAAGAGTGGTCTGCTCTCATGTCTCAAAGGAGACTCGGCTCTCTTAGTCAAAGTCTAATTCATGCATTACATTCTCTTTTTGATCTTAGAGGACTGTATTACTAGAAAGCAGCATGGAGTCCAATCATAAGTTCATTAGCATAGTTTAGTGAGAATTTTAATTCTCTATCAAGCAAAGGGGTGAGAACATCCAATAACATACAATCCTAAACTTACTTTGTATTTTGTAAAAAAAAGGAATGCCAAGGTGCAATTTTTCAGTTCTAATTTCATGCTCAAAGTGTATTAGAGCTCAACCAAAGTGTATTGCAAATACTTAAGACTTAGATCTAAAGGGCCGCATGCAGAGCTCTATGCACAAAATGTGACTTTTCCAACGTAATGCAAACTTCAGAGAGCAATGCAGCCAATGTAAATATAAGTGTATGGGTAGGTGCCTTTTGGAAGTCTCTTGACTTATTTATGGCAAACCCAACAGATGTCATGAGGTTTCCTTCAGCAAGGAGCACTCAGAGGTGGTTTTGTCAGTTTTTTCAACTAAAGCAATGGTTCTCAACCTGGGGTCCCCAGATGTTTTTGGCCTTCAACTCCCAGAAATCTTAACAGCTGCTAACTGGCTGGGATTTCTGGGAGGTGTATGCCAAAAACATCTGGGGACCCCAGGTTGAGAACCACTGATCTAAAGTATAGTCTACAGCATCTAGTATCCCTTATTGGACTCCTATTCAAGCACTAGTCAGAGCTAACCTTGCTTAGCTTCCAAGGCCAAACAGGATCTGGTGCCTTTGGCTGATTAGGATGAAATACATGAACATCAATGTTTCTGCTTGCAAACTAATACACATATACAATTTTCTGTGGATCATCTTGCACACCAACCTTGGGGAAGGTTTACTCGGGAGCAATTCAGTTCAATAAGGGTAGTATCATGCCAAGGATTCCCTCTTTAAAATAAACTGTCACTCAGTTTCTAAGGGTCTATCAATTATTCTGAACTGTTATTAAGAAACATTTGAAAGAACTGTAGAAAACTGAAATCATGCATTACCTGTAGCCCCCATAAAGGTAAACTTCTGTTCACCCAAATGATAGGTGACCTGTGAAGTTAGAGCAACAAAATAAATGCACTTCCAATAAAAGGCTGTCATGACCTTTTGAGATTCTGACTAGTGGGCCAAGTAAGACTGACCATGCTCTAAAGATTAAAAAATGCCCCCATAGGAAACCAATCCAGAAAACTAGTGTGCCCCCATAGCTTTCTAGCTAACAATCAGAAAAAAAGGGCCTTGCTCCTCTCCCTTCATATTTAAATGTACACAAAATATGAACAGTATAAAAAAAACAGCAGCAAAAGAACTAGCTTGGTACTTCAATACAACTTAGGATCAACTCATTTTAGAGATTCGTATCTATTTGATCTGGGTTTTCTTAATACCATTTCTGTGCCACTTGCGAGACTGATTGTGGGTGGTGTGGTTCTTGGACTTGGCCATGGCTTAAACCTCCACCGCCAATACAGCTTGGAAGCAAAACCAATTAATCTCATTGCCTGCATACCTTGAGGTTGAAACACATCGGCACTTCTTGTAGCTTACCCTTGTTTTTAGCCAACATGTATTTTAAGCAGCTTTTACTGTGTCCAAATTTTATCCACTGGATGTTCTTAATCTCATTACCTGTATAACTTGTATGCTACAGTGTAATAAGGGTCTCTGGACCATAATGCAATTTACCATTACTTCAATACATTAAATTCACCTGATCCCCAATATTGCAATGACAGGAGAAGCCATAATTCTAAGGACCCTTCTTACATAATCATGTTCTTTTCCATCAAGTCAACTCACCTTACAGGAACCTGATGGATAAGGACCTGATGGAAAACCCTTCAAGCCACCATGTTAAAAACCCAGGTCTCACAATTTTCTTTTCACCATTGAGCAGGTCATTAGCTGAATGCCATGCTGCTTTGAATTCAGTTGTAACATTAGGTTTTCCAGGCTATATGGCCATGTTCTAGAGGCATTTTCTCCTGAGGTTTCGCCTGCATCTATGGCAAGCATCCTCAGAGGTAGTGAGGTCTGTTGGAAGTAGGAAAATGGGTTTATATATCTGTGGAATGACCAGGGTGGGACAAAGGACTTTTTTCTGCTGGAGCTAGGTGTGAATGTTTCAACTGACCACCTTGATTACATTTAATGGATTGGAAGTGCCTGAGGGAATCTTTCTTTGAGAGGTGATTTGCTGTGCCTGATTGTTTACTCTCTGTTGTTTTGCTGTTGTAATCTTTGAGTTTTTTAATACTGGTAGCCAGATTTTGTTCATTTTCATGGTTTCTTCCTTTCTGGTGAAATTGTCCACATGCTTGTGGATTTCAATGGCTTCTCTGTGTAGTCTGACATGGTGGTTGTGAGAGTGGTCCAGCATTTCTGTGTTCTCAAATAATATGCTGTGTCCAGGTTGGTTCATCAGGTGCTCTGCTATGGCTGACTTCTCTGGTTGCACTGCCTTTCATGTTCCTTGATTCATGTTTGGGCAATACTGTGTTTGGTGGTCCCTATGTAGACTCCTGCAGAGGTGAGAGGATCCCTCTTGTCCTTTGCTGAACGTAGCATTTGTATATTTAGGATGACCCTCAGCTCTTTCTCAGTTGCTCGCTAAGTGTCTTCTAGGCTTGGGCAAACCATGGTTCTAAATGGTTCTAAAGTACTTACAAAACTAAAGTTCTGGTGGTGGAAATTTCAGAACTCTAACAAAACTCTCAAAATTTCATAATAAATGGCAGTTCCTAATTGGTTCTGTCATTAAAATCACCAATAATGAAATAATAATTAAATTTTGAAAGTTTTGTTAGAGTTCTGAAATTTTCACCACCAGAACTTTCGTTTTGTAAATACTTTAGAACCATTTAGAACCATGGATTGCCCAAGCCTAGTGTCTTCTAACCTAAATATTAATTTCTTTTTAGACTGCCCTATCAAAGAGTTTCTATGGAAAGGAAATTTAGGAGAGTTAGCTAAAGTCTTACTGCCATTCTTTTTGTGATCCTCTGCCAGTATGAAATATGTGCCCACAAGCTTCTGTTGCTCAATAGTTATTGGTATCATTTATAATGGCTCCTCAGTAGAAACCTATAATAGAGAGGTCCTACATGATAAGTGTACATTTCTACTGTCAGCATAGCCTCTTACCTCCCATGTAATCCCATCACAATAAGATAATAGTGTCATGATTTTTGTTTGTTTGATTCTCTCCCACAAAATAGCCGTTAGAATGCTAATATTTCAATAAAAATTAATACATTATGGCATCTTTGTCATTCAATATCTGAATCTTTATCCCCATAGAATTGTTGAGTGAATTCAGATACCACAAAAACCACGGGTTCAGGGACCAGAGTGTCAAGCTCCCAACTGAATGAGACACAGATGGTTTGAACACAACATCAGAGGCATTTATTCACCTTGGTCAATGTGGATATCAGTGGAGCCTGTGCTGCAATTCCAAACATACAGGTTTATTTATAGCCTTTTGACAGCTATCCAAAACAAAGGCATGTTGGCGCACTGGCTTCTGATTAGTCCAAAGAGATAACAACTAGAATTTAGCAATAGAGATGATGAAACATTCTTAGTTTTGAATATGTTTTTATTAGGGCTGGGCGGTTTCGTTTCGTTAATTCGTAATTCGTTAATAATTCGTTAATTTTTTCAATTACAAAACGATAACGAACCATTCTGGAGCAATTATTAAAAAAAACGAATTTTCAAAAACGTTTTGTAAATGCTTCGTATTTCGATATTGTATTCGTTTCGTTATTGTTTTGAGGTCGTTTCGTTATTATTTCCGCATGTCTGGGCCAGTTTTATGGTTTAATTAGTGAAAAAAAATTATAATATCACACCAACAGTCAACAACAGAGGGAGAGGGAAGCTTCAGAAGGTTTTGGAGGTTTTTTAGCGTATTTCGCGGTCGCGTCCGCCATTAACGAATCGATTAGTTATTGTTTCGGAAATCGATTCGTTAATTTTTTACCATTTACGAAATTTCGTAAATATCGAACTTTTTAAAAGGAAAATTTTGTAATTATTTTAAATATCGAAACAAAAAAAAACCCCAAATACAAATCGATTTTAGAAACAAATTTTTCCGTTGTTACCCAGGCCTAGTTTTTATAGATTTAACTGATTTTTTAAATACCATTTCTGTTTAATTATGTTTTAATTTTAGTATATCTGTAGATTTTAAATTGTATTGAAATGCTTTTAGTATAAGCTGCTTTGAGTCTCCTTGTAGAGAGAAAAAACAAGATATAAATAAACACAACAACAAAAAAAACAACAACGACAATGATGATGTTCCCAGGAATAGAATCATAATAAAGCAGGAAACCCACATGGCTCTCTTCTAGAAACATTATGTGTTTCGTGTGTCATCTCAAGGTACTGTGAAGAGTTTATGCAAACCTTTTTTTTTGGTCATGTCAGGAGCGACTTGAGAAACTGCAAGTCACTTCTGGTGTGAGAAATTGGCCATCTGCAAGGACATTGCCCAGGGGACGCCCGGATTATTTGATGTTTTATCATCCTTGTGGGAGGCTTCTCTCATGTCCCCGCATGAGGAGCTGGAGCTGATAGAGGGAGCTCATCCGCCTCTCCCCGGATTCGAACCTGCGACCCGTCGGTCTTCAGTCCTACCGGCACGGGGGTTTAACCCACTGCGCCACGGGGGCTCCAAACCTAACA